CTACGAACTTTCACATCAAACTGGAAATGTATTCTTTGACGGAATTTCTCATCGTTATTATGTTGAATTAATTATGCAAAGGTATATATTGAAATGTGATGAAACTGCTTTTGATGAAGAAATCACCTCGGAGGGAATCAACATGGTTAAATATGCTGACGATCTGACTTTTCTGTTCCCAGTTTCGTCGCTCTCTGACTGTTCCAAACTGATTAATCCTTTTCAAACACTAGCCAGTGGGCCATGCTAAATGGTCTTTCACTGGATCACTCCGACTGTCAGATACTTAACTTCACCTGAAGGCATAAACGTGGTCTACACGCACTTGCTCGTGCACATGATTCTTGTAGCACAGAGAACATTGAAATAGAGACAAAATCAAACATTACATACCTTCAAGTAGTTCTATCCTCTGGCCTTCATGCTAGTTCCTAGGACAATGTTTCGTCTAATCTTCTACATTACGAAGTTAAGATAATCAGAAATCAATCAAACTCCAATTTTAACACTTGTTAACACTCGCCCCCATCACTCCCTCCTGATCTACTGACGCAATAAGGACTAAGTCATGTTGATTACGAAAGCTATAAAAGGTTATCTATCACTAGGGAAGGCAGTGTGCCGATAAGTCAGCTAATTAGTTATCAGTGAAGATACATCTGAACTCATGTGAGAAATGAGCGAAAGCCCTAATGTCTGAGTCTTGGGGTCAAGTTTTTTCTCAAATCTCACCCTAACAATAGGATCACTTCAGGTAGGACTAGAAGTCACTATAGTTGATTATATGCTTGCAGAATCACAATGTGGAGTTATGCACACATCCATCAATAGTGAAGACTCTGATGTGGTTCCTTCTGTACTGTACTGTAATGTACTTTGTCAAAATTGCCACAGTGAACGCAAAACTGCTGAATTTCGAAAAGACGAATTTATAGATCATGATCATATCTGAAATGATTTCAGAAAATTCTTGGTAAACATTATATGTGACTTCAAGATAAGAACTCTTCAGTGATATAAAAGAAACCCTATTGATTCTAGCCACATCGAAACACAATATGAACTGATCATGCTCTTTCTGATTTGTCATCAAGTGAAAGACAAACTTTAAATCAATATTTATTAACATGTAGCCGAGAATGTCCAATCAGAAATGTAAGACAAGTCTGAAGCCAATCGAAATCCAGAAGAAGTTTCTCAATCGTCGACCCAATAAATCTGTATGCAATTTCTCTCCAGACACTTCGTCGATGTTTCAAGGAAAACGGTAATTGCACGGCCCTTCACATTTGGAAGCAAATCAGGATGAATTGTGTCAATTTACTACAGAACAAACAACGAGTGTGTTATACAAGATGCAGAACAATCAATTATATATAATCATTATATAGAGATTTCAGATCATAATTGGTGTGCATTTCCTACCTCATCGTTTTTACCATCAAAACTCTTCAGCTGCATAAGATCGACTGGTTGTACGCACTTGACAATGGCGGGCGAATTTCTTTCATTTGTACTCAGTGATTGACTGAAATAAGATTTCAATAAAGACAGTTGATGGAAACAGATGAATTAGATTCACATGAGATTTTGTTTTCGACTAAGTAAAAAGGATGAAATACTGTTCCTCATCCTATCTTCATGAGGAGTAGAGGAAACACCAACTAACTCGACGTCAACGATGGACGAGGCTGTGGTAGAAGACATATCTATTTACGAATGTACCTTAATATTTTGGAGAGTATAAAGGATGTGAGGAAGTGGAGTCATATTCGTGGTAGCTTAGAAAACCCTTAGGATAGAACATCTATCTGGGAGCCCTGAATGACTTTTCACTGTATATGGGGTTCCATCCATGTGGTGATTTGATTTGCTGTGTGGACGGTGTGCCATGAATTTGATCGGTGATAGTGAGACGGTGGAATTCATGAACTACATTTAATCAAACACTCAACTCACAAAAGATGCATTTCTAATAGCTTATATATACATATGTGAATATCAGGAACCAGAGGGGTGTGCAGAATAATAACACTAACAATACGACTCAGGTACATGATAGCGTCGGTGTAGTTGTTCATGTCAGCTGTGAAAATGTACTTACTAAACGAAGGTATAATCCTGGTTGAATAAGTGGCAGTCAGACGCTACAAATTTGTAGAAAGGATAATATGCAGGCCACACCTGATCATAGTGTTAATGTTGTTAATATTACCGATTATTTGACGTTGAGTGCTGTTCAGGACGACTATACACACGGGCCAATAGGGCAGGTACAGTGAATTACTCTCCCTCTCTTAGTTATATTCACAATACTGTCGATAACATAGAGGATTTCGTGGATCCCTTCGATAGCACAAGCATGAATTCCATTGGAATGTTCTGAAGTCACTTAGAGAAGAAAAGGATTAGACCAGTGAATGTGTCAGAAAACAGCATTATTACAAAATCATGAGGGTGATAATGATCTACAGAGATTAGAATTCACGTCAAACATTACTGCAGTCACAGATGTTACAACTGAGTTGTTCAGTCTCACGAGCTCATCTAACATCTCTTTGAATTGCATAGCGATAGCCACTCAGTCAAACGTGTGATCACACAATGGACTCTTAGTGATAGATTTTAGCCAGGACCACTTATTGACAGCTACGTCACATAACGATGTCCACTGGGTAATCAGCGAACAATTAATTAATTCATTCATAGATGTCCATTCAGTAATCAAGACGCGTACATATCGAAGCTGATATTCTTTATCAAATTTCTCACTTCGACTAGTTGTGCATTGAATAGCACACTCTATACACACACACACACTAGCAAATACACACAATGAAACAATCTTATTCAGGGGAAACGTTAGGAAGACAATTTATACTGCACTTGGATTTACTCCACAACCTAGAAACTTGATTTTCATGGTTCTATTTATTCCATCTTTTCACATCTTTCCTACGGCTGGTGAAATTAACTTCTCTTCCTAAAACACTTTTCCCATCATTTTTGTTGCACAAATTCTTATCTGTTTCAGTAAATAAGGCTTCCGTCAACAATAATCTTTCCTTCGCCTCTGCATTATTTGTATTATTTCAAGCCTCCCATCGTATTGTAGCGTTGTGTATCCCCGCATGTAGTGATATATTTGAGATATTTCCTAGATTTTCTATCTTATTGGCGTCAGATAATCTAAATTCTCCCATTTTTTGTGCCTCTGTATTCCCACTGTCCCCGTCCTATATCATTTGGATTATGTATTTCATCTCATAAAATGAATTATTTGGTTGTGTAGTGGCAATGAACAGTGTGAGTATGAACAATAATAAATTGCATATTTGAAAGGCTGCTCAGTTAATGATGATAGCAATTATGAGCACCACTGCTCATCATAACAAAAGCTCGCGGAAAAATTAAAGTAACCAAAATAAAGGAAACAGAGGCTTGTGTGAAAGTCATCAGTTAGCAGCAGTAAAACACATAGGCAATTCACGCTATTATGAAGGTATTACCAAGAAATTACCCTAGATTGAATTAAAACTAACATGAATATTGAGAGAGAGAGAGGTAGAAAGAGAGAACGGATATCCATGCGGTGAAGAAGCCAGCGAGGTGAAACAGAGTAAACGAGTGTATGTGAAGAGAAATACTGGTTGCCAAAAGCAACGAGAAAGAATGAAGTGATATGCGTATAGAAAAACAGCAGAATCCATGGCGAAAACCTGTGGAGTAGATTTGAAAGTCACTTTAACAAATCTCGGGAAACCAATGTACCTTCAACTACACAAACAGGCGAAATGAGAGTGATTGTAAAATATATATGAATTAGTAGACACCGACTGTGTAAATTCGAAGACAGAAGAGACTACGTGAGCTATGTGATTGTAGGTGAAGCGAGAATGAGGGTGAGATAGCATGTTTGTAGGCTATCGTAGAGACGACAAAATCAGGATGGGATCAGTGATCTGTTATGCTCTGTATGTGGCACGTACTCGGACAGGTAGAAGACGAGACGTCAGTCAGTATTTCCGGAGAATGAATAATCGCTGAAATACACTGGGTGATTGCTAGGTTTGCAGGACAAATCAACGGTCTACATGACAAAATTGCATGTACAACACATTGATTGTGAGGATATTGACACCGTATGAGACAGAAAAAAGAACGGTGTTTGCAATCCAGTTGAAAGAATAAGAATTAAACTAAGGACACAGTATTTTTCCACAATTGAAAAGTTATCGTCCGAAGGCTAAATAAGTGCCTGCTCCCATAACTCTCGTTCACTCTCCCTTAGTCTCTATGTATGAGTGCCACATTTTCGGTTAGATTATGGGACTTGAGGGATTTGTGATGAGAGAGCAGGTGTGAGTGTCAGTGTCAGTGTCGGAGAACGGCTATTCGCTGAGATGGATTGACTGAAGGATTGACTGTCTGTCTGTCACACCGACTACGTGATTGACTGAGTCCGTCCGTGACTACGTGCATTCCATCTCGGACACATTCAACCCCACACCCATATACAAACCAGAAAATCTCCTCCATCGCATTGCCACCACGTCAGTTTCACAGTGTCCTAAAATCCACGACAATCCACGGCATAAGGAACATGTTCATACCGACTCGCTTGAACAAAAATAAAACGAGTGGTTGTCTGCAAATTCAAAATTGATTGATTATCTCTCGCTGATGCAATTTATTCAGGCCACGCATTAGCGCGGCACAAAGTCCGTAAAGTTGAGAAAAAAATTGTCATGGATGATAAATTTAATTTCCTGTCACTTTTGAAAAAAATCCGAAACGACAATTACAAGATAAAATTAACGACTTCAACTGCACAAAGTGACTAGGACCAATAAAAGCTTGTTTCGTTCGGAATTTAAATTCCATATTTCATACAGAAGTCTATAAACACATGTTTTACAAGGAATGTACTGTACTTTCATTCGTATTCTTTCGTCTTCTTCTTCCAACCTGTACACGATGGAATCATTCGCGCCTTCAAGTTATCCGACGGAAGCGACCACTGTCAATCACGCATGATGGATATATCTCATACTATCACAACTATGCTGATGAGTCGAATTCCACGGAGATGCCTGTTCGCCATACACAGAAACAGACAGAGACAGAGACAGAGACAGAGACGACGACCGAGTCCGAGACCGAGACAGAGACGAAGACCACACAATCATCAGCCTTCCCCAGTACGCATAGCATGTCTACTGTGACTGATGAAGAAACAACGCGTCGACCGACTGGTGAGTCTCAACTTCTCATGTTTACCCATCATTGTATTTTGTTGAGCGTTGTTCTGGTGTGTGTGTGTGTGTGTGCACAATTCCAGCAGATTATGCATATCGTCACCACACTTGTTCAATACAGTTGAGAAGCCAATTTCATGGAAGATAAATCTAATCTTCTATTATTTTCGAAGACTCTCCGAATCGATAATTACTAGTTAGGATTATCGACTTCAACTGCACAAAGTGACTAGGACCAATAAAAGCTTGTTTCGTTCGGAATTTAAATTCCATATTTCATACAGAAGTCTATAAACACATGTTTTACAAGGAATGTACTGTACTTTCATTCGTATTCTTTCGTCTTCTTCTTCCAACCTGTACACGATGGAATCATTCGCGCCTTCAAGTTATCCGACGGAAGCGACCACTGTCAATCACGCATGATGGATATATCTCATACTATCACAACTATGCTGATGAGTCGAATTCCACGGAGATGCCTGTTCGCCATACACAGAAACAGACAGAGACAGAGACAGAGACAGAGACGACGACCGAGTCCGAGACCGAGACAGAGACGAAGACCACACAATCATCAGCCTTCCCCAGTACGCATAGCATGTCTACTGTGACTGATGAAGAAACAACGCGTCGACCGACTGGTGAGTCTCAACTTCTCATGTTTACCCATCATTGTATTTTGTTGAGCGTTGTTCTGGTGTGTGTGTGTGTGTGTGCACAATTCCAGCAGATTATGCATATCGTCACCACACTTGTTCAATACAGTTGAGAAGCCAATTTCATGGAAGATAAATCTAATCTTCTATTATTTTCGAAGACTCTCCGAATCGATAATTACTAGTTAGGATTATCGACTTCAACTGCACAAAGTGACTAGGACCAATAAAAGCTTGTTTCGTTCGGAATTTAAATTCCATATTTCATACAGAAGTCTATAAACACATGTTTTACAAGGAATGTACTGTACTTTCATTCGTATTCTTTCGTCTTCTTCTTCCAACCTGTACACGATGGAATCATTCGCGCCTTCAAGTTATCCGACGGAAGCGACCACTGTCAATCACGCATGATGGATATATCTCATACTATCACAACTATGCTGATGAGTCGAATTCCACGGAGATGCCTGTTCGCCATACACAGAAACAGACAGAGACAGAGACAGAGACAGAGACGACGACCGAGTCCGAGACCGAGACAGAGACGAAGACCACACAATCATCAGCCTTCCCCAGTACGCATAGCATGTCTACTGTGACTGATGAAGAAACAACGCGTCGACCGACTGGTGAGTCTCAACTTCTCATGTTTACCCATCATTGTATTTTGTTGAGCGTTGTTCTGGTGTGTGTGTGTGTGTGTGCACAATTCCAGCAGATTATGCATATCGTCACCACACTTGTTCAATACAGTTGAGAAGCCAATTTCATGGAAGATAAATCTAATCTTCTATTATTTTCGAAGACTCTCCGAATCGATAATTACTAGTTAGGATTATCGACTTCAACTGCACAAAGTGACTAGGACCAATAAAAGCTTGTTTCGTTCGGAATTTAAATTCCATATTTCATACAGAAGTCTATAAACACATGTTTTACAAGGAATGTACTGTACTTTCATTCGTATTCTTTCGTCTTCTTCTTCCAACCTGTACACGATGGAATCATTCGCGCCTTCAAGTTATCCGACGGAAGCGACCACTGTCAATCACGCATGATGGATATATCTCATACTATCACAACTATGCTGATGAGTCGAATTCCACGGAGATGCCTGTTCGCCATACACAGAAACAGACAGAGACAGAGACAGAGACGACGACCGAGTCCGAGACCGAGACAGAGACGAAGACCACACAATCATCAGCCTTCCCCAGTACGCATAGCATGTCTACTGTGACTGATGAAGAAACAACGCGTCGACCGACTGGTGAGTCTCAACTTCTCATGTTTACCCATCATTGTATTTTGTTGAGCGTTGTTCTGGTGTGTGTGTGTGTGTGTGCACAATTCCAGCAGATTATGCATATCGTCACCACACTTGTTCAATACAGTTGAGAAGCCAATTTCATGGAAGATAAATCTAATCTTCTATTATTTTCGAAGACTCTCCGAATCGATAATTACTAGTTAGGATTATCGACTTCAACTGCACAAAGTGACTAGGACCAATAAAAGCTTGTTTCGTTCGGAATTTAAATTCCATATTTCATACAGAAGTCTATAAACACATGTTTTACAAGGAATGTACTGTACTTTCATTCGTATTCTTTCGTCTTCTTCTTCCAACCTGTACACGATGGAATCATTCGCGCCTTCAAGTTATCCGACGGAAGCGACCACTGTCAATCACGCATGATGGATATATCTCATACTATCACAACTATGCTGATGAGTCGAATTCCACGGAGATGCCTGTTCGCCATACACAGAAACAGACAGAGACAGAGACAGAGACAGAGACGACGACCGAGTCCGAGACCGAGACAGAGACGAAGACCACACAATCATCAGCCTTCCCCAGTACGCATAGCATGTCTACTGTGACTGATGAAGAAACAACGCGTCGACCGACTGGTGAGTCTCAACTTCTCATGTTTACCCATCATTGTATTTTGTTGAGCGTTGTTCTGGTGTGTGTGTGTGTGTGTGCACAATTCCAGCAGATTATGCATATCGTCACCACACTTGTTCAATACAGTTGAGAAGCCAATTTCATGGAAGATAAATCTAATCTTCTATTATTTTCGAAGACTCTCCGAATCGATAATTACTAGTTAGGATTATCGACTTCAACTGCACAAAGTGACTAGGACCAATAAAAGCTTGTTTCGTTCGGAATTTAAATTCCATATTTCATACAGAAGTCTATAAACACATGTTTTACAAGGAATGTACTGTACTTTCATTCGTATTCTTTCGTCTTCTTCTTCCAACCTGTACACGATGGAATCATTCGCGCCTTCAAGTTATCCGACGGAAGCGACCACTGTCAATCACGCATGATGGATATATCTCATACTATCACAACTATGCTGATGAGTCGAATTCCACGGAGATGCCTGTTCGCCATACACAGAAACAGACAGAGACAGAGACAGAGACAGAGACGACGACCGAGTCCGAGACCGAGACAGAGACGAAGACCACACAATCATCAGCCTTCCCCAGTACGCATAGCATGTCTACTGTGACTGATGAAGAAACAACGCGTCGACCGACTGGTGAGTCTCAACTTCTCATGTTTACCCATCATTGTATTTTGTTGAGCGTTGTTCTGGTGTGTGTGTGTGTGTGTGCACAATTCCAGCAGATTATGCATATCGTCACCACACTTGTTCAATACAGTTGAGAAGCCAATTTCATGGAAGATAAATCTAATCTTCTATTATTTTCGAAGACTCTCCGAATCGATAATTACTAGTTAGGATTATCGACTTCAACTGCACAAAGTGACTAGGACCAATAAAAGCTTGTTTCGTTCGGAATTTAAATTCCATATTTCATACAGAAGTCTATAAACACATGTTTTACAAGGAATGTACTGTACTTTCATTCGTATTCTTTCGTCTTCTTCTTCCAACCTGTACACGATGGAATCATTCGCGCCTTCAAGTTATCCGACGGAAGCGACCACTGTCAATCACGCATGATGGATATATCTCATACTATCACAACTATGCTGATGAGTCGAATTCCACGGAGATGCCTGTTCGCCATACACAGAAACAGACAGAGACAGAGACAGAGACAGAGACGACGACCGAGTCCGAGACCGAGACAGAGACGAAGACCACACAATCATCAGCCTTCCCCAGTACGCATAGCATGTCTACTGTGACTGATGAAGAAACAACGCGTCGACCGACTGGTGAGTCTCAACTTCTCATGTTTACCCATCATTGTATTTTGTTGAGCGTTGTTCTGGTGTGTGTGTGTGTGTGTGCACAATTCCAGCAGATTATGCATATCGTCACCACACTTGTTCAATACAGTTGAGAAGCCAATTTCATGGAAGATAAATCTAATCTTCTATTATTTTCGAAGACTCTCCGAATCGATAATTACTAGTTAGGATTATCGACTTCAACTGCACAAAGTGACTAGGACCAATAAAAGCTTGTTTCGTTCGGAATTTAAATTCCATATTTCATACAGAAGTCTATAAACACATGTTTTACAAGGAATGTACTGTACTTTCATTCGTATTCTTTCGTCTTCTTCTTCCAACCTGTACACGATGGAATCATTCGCGCCTTCAAGTTATCCGACGGAAGCGACCACTGTCAATCACGCATGATGGATATATCTCATACTATCACAACTATGCTGATGAGTCGAATTCCACGGAGATGCCTGTTCGCCATACACAGAAACAGACAGAGACAGAGACAGAGACAGAGACGACGACCGAGTCCGAGACCGAGACAGAGACGAAGACCACACAATCATCAGCCTTCCCCAGTACGCATAGCATGTCTACTGTGACTGATGAAGAAACAACGCGTCGACCGACTGGTGAGTCTCAACTTCTCATGTTTACCCATCATTGTATTTTGTTGAGCGTTGTTCTGGTGTGTGTGTGTGTGTGTGCACAATTCCAGCAGATTATGCATATCGTCACCACACTTGTTCAATACAGTTGAGAAGCCAATTTCATGGAAGATAAATCTAATCTTCTATTATTTTCGAAGACTCTCCGAATCGATAATTACTAGTTAGGATTATCGACTTCAACTGCACAAAGTGACTAGGACCAATAAAAGCTTGTTTCGTTCGGAATTTAAATTCCATATTTCATACAGAAGTCTATAAACACATGTTTTACAAGGAATGTACTGTACTTTCATTCGTATTCTTTCGTCTTCTTCTTCCAACCTGTACACGATGGAATCATTCGCGCCTTCAAGTTATCCGACGGAAGCGACCACTGTCAATCACGCATGATGGATATATCTCATACTATCACAACTATGCTGATGAGTCGAATTCCACGGAGATGCCTGTTCGCCATACACAGAAACAGACAGAGACAGAGACAGAGACAGAGACGACGACCGAGTCCGAGACCGAGACAGAGACGAAGACCACACAATCATCAGCCTTCCCCAGTACGCATAGCATGTCTACTGTGACTGATGAAGAAACAACGCGTCGACCGACTGGTGAGTCTCAACTTCTCATGTTTACCCATCATTGTATTTTGTTGAGCGTTGTTCTGGTGTGTGTGTGTGTGTGTGCACAATTCCAGCAGATTATGCATATCGTCACCACACTTGTTCAATACAGTTGAGAAGCCAATTTCATGGAAGATAAATCTAATCTTCTATTATTTTCGAAGACTCTCCGAATCGATAATTACTAGTTAGGATTATCGACTTCAACTGCACAAAGTGACTAGGACCAATAAAAGCTTGTTTCGTTCGGAATTTAAATTCCATATTTCATACAGAAGTCTATAAACACATGTTTTACAAGGAATGTACTGTACTTTCATTCGTATTCTTTCGTCTTCTTCTTCCAACCTGTACACGATGGAATCATTCGCGCCTTCAAGTTATCCGACGGAAGCGACCACTGTCAATCACGCATGATGGATATATCTCATACTATCACAACTATGCTGATGAGTCGAATTCCACGGAGATGCCTGTTCGCCATACACAGAAACAGACAGAGACAGAGACAGAGACAGAGACGACGACCGAGTCCGAGACCGAGACAGAGACGAAGACCACACAATCATCAGCCTTCCCCAGTACGCATAGCATGTCTACTGTGACTGATGAAGAAACAACGCGTCGACCGACTGGTGAGTCTCAACTTCTCATGTTTACCCATCATTGTATTTTGTTGAGCGTTGTTCTGGTGTGTGTGTGTGTGTGTGCACAATTCCAGCAGATTATGCATATCGTCACCACACTTGTTCAATACAGTTGAGAAGCCAATTTCATGGAAGATAAATCTAATCTTCTATTATTTTCGAAGACTCTCCGAATCGATAATTACTAGTTAGGATTATCGACTTCAACTGCACAAAGTGACTAGGACCAATAAAAGCTTGTTTCGTTCGGAATTTAAATTCCATATTTCATACAGAAGTCTATAAACACATGTTTTACAAGGAATGTACTGTACTTTCATTCGTATTCTTTCGTCTTCTTCTTCCAACCTGTACACGATGGAATCATTCGCGCCTTCAAGTTATCCGACGGAAGCGACCACTGTCAATCACGCATGATGGATATATCTCATACTATCACAACTATGCTGATGAGTCGAATTCCACGGAGATGCCTGTTCGCCATACACAGAAACAGACAGAGACAGAGACAGAGACAGAGACGACGACCGAGTCCGAGACCGAGACAGAGACGAAGACCACACAATCATCAGCCTTCCCCAGTACGCATAGCATGTCTACTGTGACTGATGAAGAAACAACGCGTCGACCGACTGGTGAGTCTCAACTTCTCATGTTTACCCATCATTGTATTTTGTTGAGCGTTGTTCTGGTGTGTGTGTGTGTGTGTGCACAATTCCAGCAGATTATGCATATCGTCACCACACTTGTTCAATACAGTTGAGAAGCCAATTTCATGGAAGATAAATCTAATCTTCTATTATTTTCGAAGACTCTCCGAATCGATAATTACTAGTTAGGATTATCGACTTCAACTGCACAAAGTGACTAGGACCAATAAAAGCTTGTTTCGTTCGGAATTTAAATTCCATATTTCATACAGAAGTCTATAAACACATGTTTTACAAGGAATGTACTGTACTTTCATTCGTATTCTTTCGTCTTCTTCTTCCAACCTGTACACGATGGAATCATTCGCGCCTTCAAGTTATCCGACGGAAGCGACCACTGTCAATCACGCATGATGGATATATCTCATACTATCACAACTATGCTGATGAGTCGAATTCCACGGAGATGCCTGTTCGCCATACACAGAAACAGACAGAGACAGAGACAGAGACGACGACCGAGTCCGAGACCGAGACAGAGACGAAGACCACACAATCATCAGCCTTCCCCAGTACGCATAGCATGTCTACTGTGACTGATGAAGAAACAACGCGTCGACCGACTGGTGAGTCTCAACTTCTCATGTTTACCCATCATTGTATTTTGTTGAGCGTTGTTCTGGTGTGTGTGTGTGTGTGTGCACAATTCCAGCAGATTATGCATATCGTCACCACACTTGTTCAATACAGTTGAGAAGCCAATTTCATGGAAGATAAATCTAATCTTCTATTATTTTCGAAGACTCTCCGAATCGATAATTACTAGTTAGGATTATCGACTTCAACTGCACAAAGTGACTAGGACCAATAAAAGCTTGTTTCGTTCGGAATTTAAATTCCATATTTCATACAGAAGTCTATAAACACATGTTTTACAAGGAATGTACTGTACTTTCATTCGTATTCTTTCGTCTTCTTCTTCCAACCTGTACACGATGGAATCATTCGCGCCTTCAAGTTATCCGACGGAAGCGACCACTGTCAATCACGCATGATGGATATATCTCATACTATCACAACTATGCTGATGAGTCGAATTCCACGGAGATGCCTGTTCGCCATACACAGAAACAGACAGAGACAGAGACAGAGACAGAGACGACGACCGAGTCCGAGACCGAGACAGAGACGAAGACCACACAATCATCAGCCTTCCCCAGTACGCATAGCATGTCTACTGTGACTGATGAAGAAACAACGCGTCGACCGACTGGTGAGTCTCAACTTCTCATGTTTACCCATCATTGTATTTTGTTGAGCGTTGTTCTGGTGTGTGTGTGTGTGTGTGCACAATTCCAGCAGATTATGCATATCGTCACCACACTTGTTCAATACAGTTGAGAAGCCAATTTCATGGAAGATAAATCTAATCTTCTATTATTTTCGAAGACTCTCCGAATCGATAATTACTAGTTAGGATTATCGACTTCAACTGCACAAAGTGACTAGGACCAATAAAAGCTTGTTTCGTTCGGAATTTAAATTCCATATTTCATACAGAAGTCTATAAACACATGTTTTACAAGGAATGTACTGTACTTTCATTCGTATTCTTTCGTCTTCTTCTTCCAACCTGTACACGATGGAATCATTCGCGCCTTCAAGTTATCCGACGGAAGCGACCACTGTCAATCACGCATGATGGATATATCTCATACTATCACAACTATGCTGATGAGTCGAATTCCACGGAGATGCCTGTTCGCCATACACAGAAACAGACAGAGACAGAGACAGAGACAGAGACGACGACCGAGTCCGAGACCGAGACAGAGACGAAGACCACACAATCATCAGCCTTCCCCAGTACGCATAGCATGTCTACTGTGACTGATGAAGAAACAACGCGTCGACCGACTGGTGAGTCTCAACTTCTCATGTTTACCCATCATTGTATTTTGTTGAGCGTTGTTCTGGTGTGTGTGTGTGTGTGTGCACAATTCCAGCAGATTATGCATATCGTCACCACACTTGTTCAATACAGTTGAGAAGCCAATTTCATGGAAGATAAATCTAATCTTCTATTATTTTCGAAGACTCTCCGAATCGATAATTACTAGTTAGGATTATCGACTTCAACTGCACAAAGTGACTAGGACCAATAAAAGCTTGTTTCGTTCGGAATTTAAATTCCATATTTCATACAGAAGTCTATAAACACATGTTTTACAAGGAATGTACTGTACTTTCATTCGTATTCTTTCGTCTTCTTCTTCCAACCTGTACACGATGGAATCATTCGCGCCTTCAAGTTATCCGACGGAAGCGACCACTGTCAATCACGCATGATGGATATATCTCATACTATCACAACTATGCTGATGAGTCGAATTCCACGGAGATGCCTGTTCGCCATACACAGAAACAGACAGAGACAGAGACAGAGACAGAGACGACGACCGAGTCCGAGACCGAGACAGAGACGAAGACCACACAATCATCAGCCTTCCCCAGTACGCATAGCATGTCTACTGTGACTGATGAAGAAACAACGCGTCGACCGACTGGTGAGTCTCAACTTCTCATGTTTACCCATCATTGTATTTTGTTGAGCGTTGTTCTGGTGTGTGTGTGTGTGTGTGCACAATTCCAGCAGATTATGCATATCGTCACCACACTTGTTCAATACAGTTGAGAAGCCAATTTCATGGAAGATAAATCTAATCTTCTATTATTTTCGAAGACTCTCCGAATCGATAATTACTAGTTAGGATTATCGACTTCAACTGCACAAAGTGACTAGGACCAATAAAAGCTTGTTTCGTTCGGAATTTAAATTCCATATTTCATACAGAAGTCTATAAACACATGTTTTACAAGGAATGTACTGTACTTTCATTCGTATTCTTTCGTCTTCTTCTTCCAACCTGTACACGATGGAATCATTCGCGCCTTCAAGTTATCCGACGGAAGCGACCACTGTCAATCACGCATGATGGATATATCTCATACTATCACAACTATGCTGATGAGTCGAATTCCACGGAGATGCCTGTTCGCCATACACAGAAACAGACAGAGACAGAGACAGAGACAGAGACGACGACCGAGTCCGAGACCGAGACAGAGACGAAGACCACACAATCATCAGCCTTCCCCAGTACGCATAGCATGTCTACTGTGACTGATGAAGAAACAACGCGTCGACCGACTGGTGAGTCTCAACTTCTCATGTTTACCCATCATTGTATTTTGTTGAGCGTTGTTCTGGTGTGTGTGTGTGTGTGTGCACAATTCCAGCAGATTATGCATATCGTCACCACACTTGTTCAATACAGTTGAGAAGCCAATTTCATGGAAGATAAATCTAATCTTCTATTATTTTCGAAGACTCTCCGAATCGATAATTACTAGTTAGGATTATCGACTTCAACTGCACAAAGTGACTAGGACCAATAAAAGCTTGTTTCGTTCGGAATTTAAATTCCATATTTCATACAGAAGTCTATAAACACATGTTTTACAAGGAATGTACTGTACTTTCATTCGTATTCTTTCGTCTTCTTCTTCCAACCTGTACACGATGGAATCATTCGCGCCTTCAAGTTATCCGACGGAAGCGACCACTGTCAATCACGCATGATGGATATATCTCATACTATCACAACTATGCTGATGAGTCGAATTCCACGGAGATGCCTGTTCGCCATACACAGAAACAGACAGAGACAGAGACAGAGACAGAGACGACGACCGAGTCCGAGACCGAGACAGAGACGAAGACCACACAATCATCAGCCTTCCCCAGTACGCATAGCATGTCTACTGTGACTGATGAAGAAACAACGCGTCGACCGACTGGTGAGTCTCAACTTCTCATGTTTACCCATCATTGTATTTTGTTGAGCGTTGTTCTGGTGTGTGTGTGTGTGTGCACAATTCCAGGAGATTATGCATAATAATGCTTGGGAATGCTGATCGATACGGTGGACAGGACACATGGTCGAGTGAAGTGGCGAATTGTGCGATATGACGAAGATATAGGTAACCAGCGGTTTGTGGGTGGGTGGGACGTTGTGTTGCTTGGTCACTCTGTGAGTCAGGCAGGCAGTCACTCAGTCAGTCAGGCAGTGTTCAGTTTTCAACACGACCAGATAGCATATCGTCGATCGGTCGCCTTACCTGAATGCACAATCACAAACAAGGCGAATCTGAATATTGCCCACTAAGGATGACAATGTGAATTGAATTACCGCCTGATAATCACTCGTGGGAAACAATAATCGTCGTGAGATTAGCAGTAATATTAGATGATGTTGACATCGAATTAGCAGGGGACGATAAAGAAGCAGTAGACTAAGTAGAAAGTTGTAGAATTGGAAGAAGTGTAAGCAAGAAGCAGTCTCGATGATAGTAGCGCTAGTTTTGTTATTTTGAGTAGTGATAGTTTCAGTTGTAATAGTTAGTGTCGAAGGCTTTGTCTCCTGGAATGGAAATTTCCATCACTCCGAAGTGCTTACTTTTTCCAATCTTATGGATGCAGTTGATTGTTGCATAGTTCAGGGCTTTCAGTCTTCAATATGAACTACTGTTTACAAAGTTTATTTTACAAATCTTTCGAGGAATTTCATCTGTCCTGAATGTTAATGTGCCAGCCAGTCGTTTCACTGAAATATATGGACCAAAGCGGGTTATCTGTCAGTTTTCCGAAAGATTTTTCCCCCAAACTACATTGTGTATTATTTCAACATGGATGATGTCATTGTAAACTGGGTGTGATCAGTAGGAACACAGCAATTAACTCTCAGTGATCACGCATCAGTAGAACAAATCACACTAACGCATACTATTCAGATCACAAAGGGTTAGATGGAATTTTCATTCTATTCACTGATAGTATTCATTCCTCTCCTAATTGGTTGCGTGTTTATTTCATCTTTCGTGTTCAATAAGTAGTATGAATTGGCATGTTGTCTAATATGACGTTACTGTATAGGCATCGTTATTCATCACTATTTAACTACATTTCATTTCAGAGGGTTTTCAGAACTCCATTGTCGCTTTAGTAATCATCCTTCTGTGATTGAATCAATTGTATCTGCTAGACATATTTTATTCCTCTTCCACTCTCTACTCGAACTCCTTGATTCCGACACTTCATTCTACTTGCTCCACACACACACACACTGGTGTGTTTTATATTTCCTAGCCAGAATGATTTAAACTCATCAACGTTTCTCTTCTGTATGTTGCACTCTACGATTAATTTTACCTGCAATCATCGTGGACATCTGAAACTGTATTGAGTAGAGTGTAGTGCGTAAAGACTGAGTTCACCTATTGGTTGGCATTGAGAATCCTTGAAACCTGTGGACTACTCGACACATGTTTCCTCCTCATTTCTGCGTCTTCTGCATGACGATCAAGCGACACCATCAGGTAACGAGGCCAGCACCTACAGGTGACCAAATCAATCAATTCGCTGACTATTTCAACTCTGAGACCTATTCACAAGTTCCATCTATTCTAACTCCTCCCGGATCTCACCTCTGATATAACATGGTATTTCAGATAAATCTCGCTTATCACTCAACCTACCGGTCTGCACAATCAATACTTCATATTCTGATGATTAGTCTTCCTGATTATCCTCATCATAAGAAGTCTACATTTACGTTAGGCAAACATTCTGCATGGAGAAATATTTCACAGTCAGATTAAGTCTGATTCCACTCAGTCACGTGTTCCTCAGAAATTGAGGCTTCTAACTGCATTGGAAAATGCACTCGTGATAGTTGACATCAGGAGTTCACTTCTTAGGATTGATTTACACAATTGGCTGGATTCAGGAGAAACAAGTCATGTATTGATCAAATTGCCACACTACAGATCATGATTGAACAATGCTTAGAATGTCAGTCACCTCTCTATCTTAACTTCATCGACTTTGTGGAGGCCTTTGATAGCGCAGCGTTTATCGAACGGTCATTCGGCAACTACTTCGCTACTACGCGGTGCCATCGACAATAATACATCTCACCCAACAGTTATACGACAACGCTGCATGACAAGTAATCCACAACGGAAAAATTACGGAAGCCTTCGAAGCGAGGACGGGAGTGAGGCAAGGCTGTCTACTATCGCCAATGATTTTCCTGATTGCAGTAGACTGGATAATGCGACAGGCAACGGGCCGGGCAATGAGGAAACAGGCATAAAATGGACTCACATAAAAAACTGGGAGGATCTGGACTTCGCCGATGGTATATGTCTGATTTCCCATAAATCGGAAGATATGCAAGTGAAAAGCAACAAGCTGGAAGAAGAAGCATCAAAGAGAGGACTTCAGTTGAACATAGAGAAGACGCAGGTAAGTGATGAAGATTCCTGGCCAACATCAACAGCCACAGAAACATTAACAGACAACAATCAGCCAGCATAAATGGGAAGAACATGAAAGAAACAACCTCCTTTACCTACCTGAGAAGCATCGTTTCAACTACAGGCGGACAGAACTGACGAGGATATCAAAGCCAGAATCAGAAAAGCAAGAAAAGCTCTCATTACTCTTCAGTCTGTGTGGAGGTCAACAGCACTCATCATCAAAAATAAGATCCGGATTTTCAACTCCAATGTTAAGTCAGTGCTACTCACTATACGGATCAGAGACTTCGCCACGGCGTCATAAAGAGCACCTCAAACAAAATCCAGACCTTTATTAACAACTTTCCTCGCTCAATACTCAAGATCAGATGGCCGGCCAGAAAAGATCAGCAACAGGGATCTCTGGCTATGAGCGAACCAACCATGAACCGATTGTGAAACAAAAAGGCAGGAAGATATGGAAATGGATTGTCCATATTCTGAGGAAACCATCAAGTGACATCGCTAGACAAGCCATTACTCGAGTGGAACCCGAAAGGGAAGCAGCGAGTTGGTCGTCAGTGCAAGGGTGACTCGGAGGAGGTCATGTGAAGAGGAGATGAAAGCGTGTGGGCAGACTTGGAGCGGGCTGAAAGAGTTGGCAGAAAACCGAAGGAGACGCGCGGCCGAAGACCTATGTTCCTCTAGGAATTAACGGACAATTTAATAATAATAATAATGTTAGTGCACAATTTACAAATGAAGGTAGTTCAACTCCATTGCTCATATGGAAGGTCAACAAATCGACTAGTTCATGTCAACTGTCGTGAACTAGAATGAAAGATAATTCAATGAGACATTATCCACACTGCATATTTCTCATACTGATTTTGACACCTCCAATGGACGTGGAATATGAAACCTCGAGATGCGAACACATTAGGAATCCTAGCAAAACAAGAAATCGTATTAAATTCTGTTTAGATATTTGCACGCATACCTGCCATACCTGTACGTTCTCTCTCTCTCTAAACAAAATGAATGATTCTCAAATTAATTTTCATTATTCTAATTTCTAGATAATTCTACAAGTGATTAACTCGTCGTCGATGCAGAAGATGAAATCCCCAAGACAATATGATTGATGTTTTACACGCTGAAAACAATATCGTCTTCCCCTTTCATCACGAATGATAATCGTACATCTCATAAACTAATGAAAACACTTTTCTCCTAATATCTAACACTTTTACTCATGAATTTTATTTTGCTCTTTGTTATATTAAGCTAATAATAAATCTATAGTCTGCATATTTTGGCATATTGTTGTTTCTGACAGGGTAGAGATTGATGATTTATATAGATTGATTCCCCTTAATTATTGAATTTGAATAAAGCAAGAACAAGAGTAGATTTTGCAGAATAACATGATGTTAACATTACTGTTTACTGCGTTGCCTTCTCATCAGCTGCTCACAGGCAACAGTCATTATTAAGTATACCTACAAAAACAGTTTTAACATACCTGCTTGCATAGAGTTCATTTTAAACAAAAATCAATCAATCATTATAGACATCTAGTAATAATTATATATATCTGTAATATGAAACACTATTTCGAACAATAATGATCATACACAATGGAAACTTTTCGGTATTAAGTATTCAGATGAAATAGAGATGGGTAAAAAAAGACTGAAAACTGTTTGTTTCTGAACGCATAAATCAGGTTTCAGGTGATTGATGGAGATGGCTTCAGAAAACTTCAGGAGAATTGATCACCTTTGCTTATTGATCATTTTGAACGATATGGCGACGTCGACCTGATAACCCGTGTCGAGGAGATGTCTAGCAATGACACTTTTGAAAACGTTAGTTCACTTTAGACATAAGCTTTTTGGTCCATGTTCAGAAAAACCTAAATGTGCCCTTCTTCTTTCTTTCAGTTCTTCCTATGTAACTGCTCCCGCAGATACATGTAAATTTGTATATACAGTTGCAGATAACATGAGAAGGATACTTGTCGATTTTTGACTGCATCAAAGCGCAGGTCGTTCGAAGGACAGGGACAAGCCTATTGACATAAGTATGAAACTTGGGCACTGTGGTAGAGTACAACTCCATTATGGATAAGAATTTATTTTGATAAATCACACAGTGTTGTACAGTTATATTAACTGATGACGTTTCGAGCACAAACTATTTCTCAAAATCATATCAAGTTACTCAAACAACTGTTTTTCTTCATTTATATACATGTGTGGAATCGACTAGATATTGGATTAAAACCAACGCATTCTAATAGATATTTAGACTTTATTTCGTCTGTTAAGGCAGGCTTGTCCTGAACGTCCACAGGGTAGTTCATGCTTTCTTTTGTGTAGAATATTTTCACTCTTATTTCACAAGAAATTGACTTCAGTCAGTCAAGATATTCTCCGTAAATTTATTTGGCAGCTTACTCACTAATGTTGACCACTCAAAGTGCTTTGTGTGTT